AGCGACCTATGTACTTAGCTCCGCACGGGCAAGTGAACTGGTATATGCACATTGAATTGGTCATATGCGAGAGTTTGTCCTTCGTGTTGTTTCGAAGTAATGGATGGCTATAGAATGTCACTCTTAGTGTTGCTGCAGGGAAGGTCTTCTTTAAAGAGCCGGATATTCTCCTCTTCAGGACATCAGCTGCCAAATCTCCCTTGAAATTCAGATTTGGATACAGCGTTTTCTTTGGCCCTGAATCGCATTCTTCTCTTTTTGGTTTAGGTTTCATGTTCTTTTCGACAAGACGTGTCGGGTAGCCATTTTGAGCCAGGATATTTTTGAGGAATAGGAGCTCTTCTTCCATGCAGCAGATTTTTCTAATGCGATGAGTTAGTGCGCTGATGAGAGCTCGTTTCCGACTCAAAGGTATCCAACTATAGAAATGCGTTAGTTGGCCGTTCCATGTCTGTTTTCTGTGGACGGACCTCTTCAGGGTTCCATCATCTCTTCTTGTCAATTCCACTCCCAGAAATGGAATCTTTGAATCATTTCCTAATTCTATTGTGAATATAATCGAAGGATGGGAGTCATTCAATTCTTGTAAGATGCAGTTGAGGTCCACGTTATCGTAGCAGACTATAAAGGTATCGTCGACGTACCTTTTGTACAGTAGTAACTTGTTTATTGTTGGTTTTAAAACTGCACTCTCCAAACTGGCCATAAAGTAGTCTGCTAAAAGCGGGCCAAGAGGAGATCCCACTGCAATTCCATTTTTCTGTCTGTAGATGTCGCCGTTGAAGGTGAATTGTACAATGTTTTCAACTTTTTGCAACAGTCAATATGTGTTGGATTAATCTAGCTCACATCGGCTCGAGTGGACTCCATGCGGTTTTCATGTAAGTGTATTTGGTCCTCTGATAACACTTTCCTTCTAGGGACGGGAGATCTAGCTTAAAGTCCACTAACCCACTGCACGAAAATACACAGTCCAGGAATGAAGAAGTGCACTGGGGATCAGATCGTCTGCATTTCTTTGCATTCTGAACTAGAGATAATGAAGTGGAAGATTCTACCCACCTATTTTCGAAGAAATTGTTTGATAAAGCTGTTGTTAGATTTTCTCGGTAGACTGATGTGGTATCGAAATCCACGCCTACAAGGCCCCAGTACTGTTGATGCCCTAGAGTCTAATATCTTTGTGTGGTAATTATGTGCTGTATAATCGATAGTGATATATGTTTTGATCACAAATAGATTTTTTATCTTTTGCATTTTAGTTGATAGCTTATACATTGACATGATCCATTATGGTGTGAGACAGCTTCTATGCTACGCAAAGTTGAATTTTCCTGAGATAGATGGCTACCCCCACCACGTCTGTATTTTAACCGTGCTGCTCTGTATGCACATTAAGGCTTTCTATGTTCGCTTCATTCTTCGAAAACATGATTCTAACATTTCACTAATATTGCACCTTAACAGTATTAGTGACGTTAACAGCTCATATTCCACCGAAATCAACAACCAAATAACAATAAATTTGGAACCGTACATCGACTTTCTTCTTCAGAAGTTAATCTAGATCAGGTCGATTTATCTGCCTTCTCTTAGTGATCACGATAGAATTTTTTCTGATCTTCTGTCAATTTCCACACACTAATCGCCTCTTAAAGTTCTAATAAACCTTGATAGTTGTCTAGGTCTGAGACTCTAGGAATCAATGGCTGGAGACAATAGGTGAGATGGCTGAAAATCGTTGTCAATGACCAGCGCAGATGTATTCAGTCTCTGTAATCTTTCATATTCCTTTCTACCATTACCCATTCTGTTTCACTCTTATACTTGTCAAACTCTATTGATTCTCTTCACTCATCTTCTTGTCTACCTTTGTGTGCTATTTGGAACGTGGCAACTCGAGCTGCTGCACTTCGGTGCCAAGTTCTATGTTGAATCCAGACAGACAGGTCTGAGAGCCTGCTCGTGGATTTCTTTAAAACCATACTGCCTTTATGACTGAAGCTAGTCCTTCAACCAGTTTGTCAAGGAGAATGGTAAATTAATGATTCCAATTGTAAAAAAATGAAGAGAATAAATCGCCAATTCGTTATTCAGATGATTGATTGGCAGTTTTCAAGGCCCAAAAGCATTCCGATAAATTTTTCGGATTTCCTCAAGGTTCTTAGTCATATTTTCCGATTTCTTCATGTCTCTAAAATTTCTTTATATAGTCGGAGTAGATAAGTAAGCAACTTGAACTTCACGAAAGCTACCGTTTAATAATGAGAACATTGACGCTTATACACCAAGAGCTAGTCGTCTGTAAAGATAAATGGATGAAGCTGACTTTCATAGTGAATCCACGCCACGTCGAAGGAATGTAAAACCCACGAGAGGGTCGAGCCGCAAATGGTCGACTGGCTTATCCTACTGAAAAGATTTATGTTGGATAGTGTAGCATACCTTCGCAAAATACTGGAGGATTAGAGTTTAGGGAAAAGCATTTACGCAAGGTGCGATATATATATTGACGCAAGTTCTTGTCTTACAACTCCTAGACATTTGTTCTGTGTAGAACAAAGGCAGACCAAAACACCAAATTGATCATCCAAATTAGGAAGTCCATTTCGGAATCAAAATCATAGTGCGAGAATGACTAGGAAGGGAACGTGCAAGAACGAACAAACGTAACACAACGGCGCACAAAATGCCGTAGATGGTTAACCTTGAGCCCTCTAGATAACGAGTGAATGAAGGTGAGTATCCATTATTCAGTGGAAGATACCGGAGGCTGGGAATTTCCAGGAATTACACACTGCTAGAAGAGTGAACAAGTTGATAATGCTTAGGGTGCACATATTGCCCACACATACTGAATCATGATGACGGTTACCATCTGTTCTCTCATGCAAGTAAAACAAGAGCGTTTGTTTCTGAAATATTCCTGAACGTTATGGGTCGTTCATAGGTCCTCCTGTAGATGTATGCGTTCCAGCATCATATATCAAACAAATTTTGTAAAGCAAACAACGTTCTTAAATGCCTTCGATCCATGAATCTGTTCCAAAGACTAGTTTCAAATGGTGTACCACATATTATTCTCAGAGAATGTGCAAATACTCTACCTCATCCTACCAATAATCTTTCCAATGTATCATTCGTCAGAAACATTTCGCCAGACACTCTGAAGGACGCCAGGATTGTCCCACCATCTGAATCATCTACTCGATTGTATGCTAAGTTTCCACCTATTAACATAATCTCACACTTTTGGAAATTAATGGAAAGTCACACTCACCCAATGCTGAACCTTCGCCACACACTTCTAATAACTCAAAAGAATTTGTTTCTTCTTAAGTATCCTCATGACCTGAGTGTTTCTGTGACCATTCCTTCTCAATCACATTGTTCTAAAATGAATAGCTTTTCAAAGAAGTTAGCCGGTGATCCTTGTCAAATGGTCTTAAGCTGAATCCTTCTAATTGTCAGACTATCAGTTTCACATTCAGACAGAAACTAGTAGTTGGTTCGTTCCTTTTATTTTTTTGAACGCAGTGGGAACTGAAGTAGAAACTGGCTCAGTGGATTGAGTTTTCCCCGTAATCTTTTCTTGTCATCCTATATCCTGTTGATATCGGAAAAAAATGGTTCGTCTTGCCTTAAACATAATCAAGTCATAGCACCCGAACTCCACTTCGACTGTTCTTGAATACCAGAGGATTCTTAGCGGCCTGGTTGGTACTCACCTATCAACATATACATTATCATATAACCGATTCGTGAATTAAGAAGGAACATGTCACACAAAACAAGGTCGAATTCAATGTCGATGAATGGAGTGATATTAGTACAAAATAACAACCCATGAGCTTCATGTTTATAAGACAAACACTGACGACAATTTCATTACTAGTTACGAGAATTCGAATCTTCAAACTTGCTCAGAAACCTTCAATAATGCCCACCAAAACATCGACTTCACTCTAGAAGTTGAATCGGACTCCATGTTCACCAGTGAAGAAATGTTGCAAACTCCTTGCGTAAACGTGGAACGAACAGTTAATTCCTGCTAAAATCTATTCGACCAGTACGTGGAAGAAAGACCAGTACGCACAATAAGCCACAACAACATGCGTATTATACCAGCTCCCTATCTGCTGTGGAACTCATTACATCAGCCGTACCACGCATCCGATTGTAAATCACACACAGGAACACTATACAACTGGGAAACCAAACGGAGGACGTAAGTGTGTCTATAGTTCCGTAGCGGAACATTGGATGAACTCACAACACTCAGCTCCATTCGACAAATCCTTCAGTTTTATATGATACCCGGCTGAACCTCTCAAACGGGGCGAGGTCATTACGTCTGTTCATAGATCAAACATCAGTGACTGGCTGGGAAAATTCAAGCCAACGCTATATATCGCAAGGAAGCACGTCGACCTTTGTCTTTTTTGTCGTGACCATCACAAACACTCGGTCTTCTCAATAGTTATTATCCGAACTTTCTGTTTATTTTTCTTACTATCACATTTTCAATCGTTATTTGCACTACATAGTTTTCTAATTGTTATTCGTTATGATTTCATCTGAGATCGGAAATGCTGTTAGATCTTTCTCACTCCTTTGATATATATATACTCAAGAATGTGCACAGCCCAGTCGACAACTCTATCAATCAAAAAGAAAACAATTACTTCACTGCAACCATTTCTTTGTATTTTGCCATCTGACTGTTCACATTAACTGACACATGATTATTCTGTATCAAACTTTTTTTTGTAATTTCTGTATTTCTGTAATTACATCACGATATATACAGTGCATCCAATTCGAGGAATCCCAATGAAACTATGGAATACATTCACTTCACCTTCATTACTTGTTTTGTGTTGTTCATCAAAACTGAACTAAATAAAAGACAGTTCGTATAAGCAGCAATTATACTCTCCCCTCATATACGTACAGATTCACTTGTGTAGTGGATTAAGTTCTCTTCGGAGACGGTGATATTAATTGGCGGAATCAGTATCATCTGCAACCGTCGTTGGTTGACATCTTTTGCCCTTCCGATCTTCCCTTGTATCATTCGACTCACTATTATCCAATGACAAAACAGGTGGAGAAGGTTGCTGGAAAAAAAGCGATAAATGTTAGTAACAGGTTATTCAATGCAAAAGGTGTTTAATTAAGCACTATGAATAAGTCGAAATCATGGAATACTAAAGAGAAGAGAAACTCTGTGTCAAGGTTATCCAAAGCTCAATATGGTAAACAAGATTATAAGGAAATGATGATTAAATCAAATCAGTACTGATATTTCGAAATTACATTTCATGTTCAGTACAGAACTTAAGCTTGTTAATCAAGGAGCAGTGTTGATGGTTGACTCTTGAAACCTTACAACATCTGGATTTCATGAATGCTCCATGACTCGTGCTGCGCAATCTCCAAGAGTCAAATACAGGTGTCACGAATGACGATGTCAAAGCCATTCAAGATCACAAAGGAAGACATCTGGGACAAGAAACAAGATCTGAATATATTCCAACGCTAATGTCAAGTCACTGAGGAAACAAGCCTCATAGATTTGATACGTCACCGAAAGCATTTCCAACAAGGCTTCCACCGACTGTCATCGATACCTGTCTTCGACAGACGCTGAAAATCAGATAGTAGTCAGAAAGGATAATCAATAGGGAAATTTTCCAGCGAACCAGTAAAAGACCTATCACTAGACTAATATGCATGCACGAGGAGATGGAGACGAATTCGACATACGTCGAAGAGACCTTCAAGTGTCCGTGGAGAAAAGAAACCAGTTTGACGTCCGAAGGAAGAATGCACATAAAGATAAAATGGAAGGCAGGTAGCAATTGTGGAGAAAACTAGAAAAGGCGACAGAGAACTTAACGCAGTGGAGATGTGACGCTGAAGCTGTACGTTGCACTGGTAATCGACGAAACAAACAATACGAATACTTGATCATACATGGCTCATGAAGTCCAATAAAAAGCTGTAATAAATACAAGTAATGCTAGCTAATGTAAGCTGCAGAAGGATTAACGGTACAAACGTCAGAAAAAGTAACACCACCTCTCAAGTATCCAAACTAATTTAAAGAAACACACCTACCAGATTATAGTAAATAGAACTTTGATAACTTCTCAACAAACATGGTTGATTTCTAGTTAGACCACAAACTGACAGCCGTCAGTAAATTATCGAAAGTAATGAACAGCTGTTCCATTGTTAATTGGAATGGGATAGACACATGTCCTCTGTCCTTAACTGAGGTTACTGAAGCTGTCAATAATCTGAAACAAGACAAAGCAGCAGGTTCTGATGGAATGACCCCAGACGTCTGTCTGTCTGTTTTCGACATGGAACTTTGCACAAATGTGCGGAAGTTCAAGTCGCCACATTCCGTGTAGCACGCGAAGCAAGAGAAGAAAGTACAAGAAAAGCATAATAGGAACAGTGAGCAGAGGTGTGAGACAAAGGAGTAATAAATAAATACAAAACAGTTTCATTGAAGATCATAAGTCACAGGGAGTGGATGCATCTGCGCCACTGAGAACGATTTTGAGCCATGTCACCAATTGTTTCCAACCATAGATTTTTGCCGTCCCGAGGACCCCAGCCTGGAAGTCTACACCTTCCTACGTGGCTTAGACCAACTGTTGTGGATTTCATTGACTGGTGCCAAGTTTTTGTTTGACCGCCGCTAGCTTTTTTCCAGCCTGACCCTATATCCGCTAACATAGCTCGTCGAGGGAGGCGATGACTTGGCATACGTAACACATGTCCTAACCATCTCAGTCGATGTAGCTTCACGACTTCGTCGATTGATTTCCCCTCCTTACCTAGAACTCTACGCCTAACCTCCATGTTGCTCACCCCAGACGTATTTAAGTACAGTCAAGACAGTTTACTCTCTGCATTAACTGAGGTACTAGGTAGCGTCTGGGAATTAGAGGAAGTCCCATCGGGTTGGTGTAAGTCACTGATTATCCCCATATACATGAAGGGAGAGAAGTCTTCCTGTGATAATCACGGAGGGATTAGCTTGACTAATATAGTATCTAAAGTCCTAGGATCAATAATCATGCGTAGATTAAGAGGTGCTAGGGAGGCACAAACACGAGAAAGCCAGGCAGGCTTTAGACCAGGAAGAGGGTGCATTGATCATATCTTCACCCTCCGACAGATTCCAGAAAATAGGCATTCTTACCGGCGTCTAACAATCATTATATTTCTTGACCTAAAGGCAGCATTCGACTCTGTCCATCGAGAAGTTCTCTGGAGATGCTTGGCTGTAAAGGGAATTCCGAGAAAGTATATTGCACTGATTAAGGCACTCTACTCGTACTCATACAGCCAGGTGAGGCTTATGGCGAGCTGTCATCTGAACTGGTGACGACTAGTGGTGTCCGTCAAGGATGCCCATTATCCCCTTTTCTATTCAACTTCATCATAGATGTGTTAATGGACTTAACCCTAGGTGACTTCAGCGACTCAGGGATTGACTTGATACCAGGGAATAATCTGGTTGACTTAGAATATGCAGACGATATAGTCCTTCTAGGCGACGACTCTGACAAAATGCAGAGTCTTCTAAACACCTTGAGCCGCAATCTACGAATGTTTGGCATGCGATTCGCTCCCGCCAAATGCAAGATGATGTTACAGGACTGGACTACATCGACGCCTAGATTAGAAATGGGAAGTGAAGTGGTAGAGCACGTTGATCACTTCACTTATTTGGGAAGTACCATCAGCCAGTGCCAACGGGTTGATCTCTGACGAAATCTCAGCTGAGTACGGATACAGGGGGCTCGTTTCGCATTTGCCAGTTCACGCCGACTCTGGCGTAGACGAGATGTTCGACTATCGACCAAAGGATGTGTGTACTGCTCATCAGTCCACTCCACCCTCTTTTGTGGCTGTGAGACCTAGCCACTGAGAGTGGAAGACATGAAAAGACTAGCTGTCTTTGATCATAGGTGCCTGTGCTTTATTTCCCGTGTAAAGTGGCATAATAAGGTGAGCAATATTGAGGTTAGGCATCGGTCGAGTTCTAGGTAAGGAGGGAAATTCAATCGACGAGGCTGTTAAATTACATCGACTGAGATGGTTAGAACATGTGTTACGTATGTCTAGTCATCGCCTTCCTCGACCGACGGGCAATGTTAGCTGACATAGGATTGGTCAGGCTGAAAAAGAGCTAGCGGTTGTCAAATCAAATTATGGCACCAGTCAATGAAATCTACAACAGTTAGTCTAAGCCAGTCACGTGGCAAGGTGTAGACTTCCTGGTTGGGGTCCTCGGGACGGTAAAAACCAATGGTTGGAAACAATTGGTGACATGGCTCAAAATCGTTCTCAATGGCTCAGATGCATCCACTACTTGTGATTTATGATTTCCAATGAAACTGTTTTGCTCTTCGTTATTACTGTTCCTTTGTCTCACACCTCTGTTTACTGTCTGTTTATGCATTTCTTCTACTTTCTTCTCTTGCTTTGTATGCTACATGGAGGGAGTGTGGCGACTTGAACTGCCGCACATCGGTTCAAAGTTCTACGTCGAGAACAGACAGAGACAGACAGACGCAATTTGGAATCCTTCAGTTGTACACCCGCATGACCCAACAGGCATACCTGAATAAGCATAAGGGTGAATGCTTAAAAATCAACAAACAAGAACAACGACAATGGCAACTTACAAAAATATCACTAGATAGTTTAGATGAAGATGAATCAAGCGATGAAGTGATCGACGTTAAGGTAGGCGGGTGATCGCTTGATACATCCAGTGAATTATCCCCTGACTCATTTGACCAAGGTAGCTATATATGGTTTAGCACAAAACAATCAATGCATTAACAGTTGTACAGTTAAAAGTTGTACATAGAAAACATCAACAGTACAGTGTATACCTCATATGGAATGGAATTAATGCAGTTCAATGAGAAGGTATATAACACTAAAACACGGAATAAATATACAATGAATTCAGCACAGAAGACTACAAGTATACATTGATTGATCACCGGAGAGTCCCCAGTGTCATACAACATCTGGTCGCTAGTGATCATGACGACTGAATTTTATCACAGTCAACTTTGCAAGCTGAGTGACCAGGTGGAGACAATCATCACCTGACGATTGTTTCCAACCATCTAATAGTAATTTGGACTACGAGTATATTGCTGCCACAAACACGCAGCAAATACATAGGTCGTACGGAAAGGCGATTGTCTACTCTCATGATGGAGCATTCGCCAAAATGGTTGAAAACAGCTGAGTGCAAAGTCCCAAAATCCTCAATAACAAAACATCTTGTGGATTACGGACAGGATATCGACGCCGTCAAGTCAATCACCATCGTCAGCAAACAAAGAAACAAGAAGACGCTTGCAATTGCAGAGGCTTGTGCAATTCGAATTTACAAACCAGCTCTCTGTATAAAAAAGGAGATGGTCGTCACTCTGAATCTACCATGGTAATACGCTTTACTTATTATTCTCTACTTGTTATTACTATTATTCTACCTCTTTTTCTTATTATTTTGTTATTATTACTATCATTATTATTATTCTGGATTCATTTAAATCTATGCTTTATCCGTAAGATTATCCTAACTCACTTCAACACTATTAAAATTGTTATTATAACTATTACTATTGGTATTAGTCTGTTTGCAATTCTCGTTATATTCCCTAATGACTAATTGTTTATCTAAGTGATGTAATTGAAGCGTAATGCAATTTATCTTAATTTTGATCTCTCATACTCTCTCTCCCCTTATCTATTTGAACATGACCTGGAAAACATTCGCCTGTCTTTCTGCATGACTAATTCAATGTAGATTATTTACTTATCAGTCTTATATCTCCCAATGTAATTTCAAAAGTATATATATCCGTGTATGTAGAGTATTCAGCTGACGAGTTCTACCGAAATTTGATGAATTCATTAAATCCTGCTTTATTAACCCTTATTGCTTGTTTTAAAATAATAACCAATCTACAATATCTTTACATGAACACCACGGAAGCTGAACAGTGTTTGTGAGGTACACATACAGACACACACACACACACACACACACTAGATAAACACAGTTTGATTTCTAAACTTAAATTTGTTCATGCTTTATTTTTCCACCTACTTGTGTAATTTATTCCACTATATTTTCCATCAGTAGGTGTTGTTTAGGAGTGTGATCAGTTCTAACATAGAACTCTTTCAACATGTAGTATATTCATGCACATGATGGATATGTGATATGACACATGAAATTAGGCAAGCACAGAGTGGAGTATGTACGTCACCTCCAAAGTGATTTCCGATTTCAAGTTGCATCAGTTAGATAACCACTGTACAGCTTTCTCTTCCTATTTAGGACTATCCAGCAACACACACTTATCACACCACCTGGGATAGGACCTAAGATCCTGAAGGTTACGAGGCAAGCCCGTCGACCATTCAGGCGATAAGACGGACTTCAATGACGTGGGAATTCTAAATTCTGACAAATCACGATACGTACTCCAACTCTCATTAGTAACTGACTGACTGACTGAAGTCCGTACTGCCAAACAGTTCCAAACTAAAAGGAAACAGTTGTCCGGTACTTTCTGGTGCCCAATGATCTCCTACCCGATTTCACTTCATCATCAAACTTGAAATCAAATCATATCTCCACAAACCAATACTTGACAATACCGAGTCATTAAATCCCCTTTTCTCGATAGCTAAAAATCTGATGATGAATAGGTAAATATTTGATGGAGAGGGAAATACACAAGTTAATTTTTATCTAGGATTCACCTCACAGTAGCATCTAAACCTCTGAGACTATTAGTATCTAGACAGAATTAACATTTATCCCTGGAGTGCTCATTATCGAAACAGGGAATTATTAGCATAACTGATTACACCCTCGTAGAGACAATGTAACTGCATAAACAATTTCCGACCGTGAAATTCTTTCACAGTGGCATTGTTTACTAACTTCTACTTAACATTATTGTTGCTTTCGACAGAATAAAGTAATTCACGAAAAGAATACACTGAACCATAATAATACATAGACGTTATTCAACAATACTCACTGAAGTATTCATGTTTGAATAGATAGGCGTTGATGTGGAACTTGGCTCTGGAACGTCTATTTGCAATTGTTGATCCCATTGTTCATACAATTCGATAGCTATACGATATCTAATTGTATTACATGGTCGTGTCATTGCAGTCTCAGCTAGTTGACGCAATAAATGATGTATAAACTGTTGCTTAGATGTAACCAATCCTTTATTCAAATCACTCGCGACAGGATCTAGTAATTCATCGATCAATTCTTTTATTTGAGATTCCGACAATTTATTTCTACTCAGATGAAAGATTTACAAAACGTTACTTCGGGTAAGTAGTGTGGTCGAGTAAAATACTGAAACCTAGAAATACTTTCATCGTCAAAATTAAAATAAAATATAGAAGTGAACAATATTGTTTCTATGGGCCATTGGTTTCCATTCCGGATGCTGAGATCGAGAGGCGGAGGCTTTCGTTGATGACCTGTAAGTCGTGAGCTCGACCCCGCTCATAGTGTCATGGGTGAGTGCCGCTAAATAATCCAGAACTAAGACAAACCACCTGCCCACTACTTCCTGCTTTTCAATGGTTCTCTAACTGAAACCAGCACTCAAAAATGTTTTCTTCGAAAACATCTGTCTCCGGGGCTGAACTTCAATATGCATGGCTTTAAGTATATTTATAAGTAAATATTACCATAGGGTCTCGAGTCATGAATGGGTGTTGTGTGTCGCCGAAAAGCACACAATACTCAAGTATGGTTATCCACTTAACCTCAACTGAGAAACAAGGTGAACCTGGAAACTTCTCTTTAGGGAGTAGCGAGATTGTTCGGTTAATTTGGGAGGACTCGCTTGTATAAAAGCAGCATCGAGTGCTAGGGTAGAAGAATCCTTACTTGACTCGATCACAGTGGATGTTTTTATTTTCGCTGTAATGTTTAGCGAATGATAAGTTGGAAAGTGATACAAATCGATGTCTTTTCTCAATGTACACTTACGACCCAAAAGACCGCAGTTTTGGACAGTTCGCTGCTAAAACAGGAACGCTCAGATATAGTCATTTTAGCAGTTGACTTCAATCCTCGACTATGGGAACTGCACCAGTCAAAAAAGTATCTTGACAGCAGCTATGGAGTCCTGCATCGACGAACCGACAACGGTGATTGTGTTTGACAGTTCTATATTTCATCAGCACCCAATTCAAACATACGGGAAGCCATTGCCTAACCCCGTGAAACCCATTATCAAATCAACAATGATCTCAAATAGATCACGCAGCTACAAGCTATAGATTGAGATGGTCGGTGTATAGGACTGTCGCCCCTCCTGGAAGACAGCTTTTCATTCTAATCACTCTCCAATCTGTGCATATATATTCCTGTTATTGGACTGTCAGCAGAAACAAGTAACTTCGAAGCTGATACTCATCCAACTCGACGAGAACATAAAGTCTTTATTCAGGGAAGAAATAGATAAAGGCGTATCTCGGATTGACAGCAAGACTTGTTCAGAGGAAACCTGTCTAAATGACCACAAACCAAAGATTATTAAATACCTGTGAATATCACAGCTTCATCCAAAATGACAGATGCAGTCAAAAGGTTCCAACAAGCTAGGCGCGAAAGCTGCTTAAGTCCAAGCCACAGGTGCCACATCGTTTCATTCCTAATTCAGAATATCACTCCTGCTGAGATGCATAAGGAAGTCAGAAGGATGAAAGGTAATATGAAACAGATCGTACTCTAGTATCACATTCACCTGAGTACACTGTTTCTACAGGTAAAAACAGAAGTCATATATTCGGTATTCAAACGATTCTCCGAATAATAAACCGATAGCCCAAGATAATTCAGTAATCTGTTATTCACAGATGACTATTATTTTTCAAAAACTTTACCGCCGTAGTATTCCACCGCTCTACAGACCAGCTCATTCGTATGTGTGTATGCGTGTGTGTGTTTGGAATCGAACTGGAAAAAAACATGCAATCAACTATTTCCACACAAATACGAACCTCTGTGTCAATTAAACACACTAAATAAATCACTGTAGATTCAAAACAGTGACCTCAAACTAGTAAAAACTCAAATTATAGGTGGAATTTCATAGACAAAATACAGACGACCGATACTCACTTGGAACGAGGAGAAAGCGCCAAACGTTCATTCTTTGACATCAACGTATTCACAATTCGTTCACTACCACTCAGAACTTGATTCGCCCAACTACGCCAATCAGTATCATGAGAAGTACCATCAAAAGATGTTTCTATTAATGATTCATTTAAATCTTGAGATGAACAATTAGGTGTTGAATCTGAAGAAGACACAACAACAAGTTGAGTACCTTTCCGACTCAATCGAAGTGTAAGACTACGATTTTTACGACCTCCTTCGGTGGACGAATTATTCGACTGGCACGGTTCATCAACCACAGTTTCAGAAGTCCTCGAAGTCAAATCAGGAGTATTCGGCTTGTCCGAACCACTGTGAGATGAAGTAAAACATTGGAAACGATAATTTAATCACACAGCCGAAAATAGCAATCATGCAACAGTTAATACATACATATTCTCTGCGAAAAAGGATATGCTGTTGACAAAAAACAGACTGTGAGTAGAATTCCTTCTACCACAATCAGTATACAACAAAAGAGACTATTCCTACTACCTCAATCATTAACTGGAAATAATGGGGAGGCTGAGAGTGTGATTCGCAGACAAAACTTGGAGCGTTTATATATCCCAGAAATGACTATGTAAGAAAATGATACTGAGTAGTTAAAAAGAAAGCCCAACATGCCTCTTCAGTGCAGGTTTCTTCATGTGCTTGTCAACCAGCTACATTTCATGTGTGAAATGCCCACACTATTATTCGAAGAATTCACAATAAAGCAAACAAACGAGGGTTCGAATCCGGGAGATGACGCCATTGTCTAATGGATACTCACTCCCAGTTGAATCCTGGTTTAATAGTTCGAAGAAATTCAACAGCATGACAAGAGACATAAATCACGTTGAAGTGGATGAAAAAGAAGGGATTATTTCTCCACCTACATTTGGCTACTCGTTAAGAAAAACTGAGGAATTTAAACCCCAGATGAGTGTTAGGTTGTGCTACTCTTATTCTAAGAAGACCGAGAATATTACCCGGAGTGAATCAGCACCTTGGACCCTTCGGCTGAAAATCGAATGCCTAGGCCAGTCAGTTACATCTCCATAGTATTTTATTTCGACAACACGCTTACTACATCTCGGTGGAAACAGCAATTTGTGTTACATTTATGTTCACGAGGTGATTGTTCATGCAGTCGGGTTTGTGCAGAGATGTCACCTGGGCTAAAGACAACCAGTGGTGTTCATCAGTGACGCATAATGCTTCATCACAAACATACTTATGCATGTCACACTGATCGTCTCAAACGACAGTGACAAACTTATCAGTAGGGAACAGTCTTGCCTATTTTGCGTATGCACATTATATACATACCTCAGGTGAAGACGCTTACGAAATGCAGTCTTCCGACCATCTTCGACACAAATATGGATACGTTTGGCAAGCGGTTTCCACCAATCAAACGTAAGATGATGGTTTATTTTCAAAGTTGTGATTGTGCCTTGTATGAAGTTTTCTGAAACCTGCTGGTGTTTCGTTTTGTCCAAAGCTGTATCGTGCTACTAATGCTGATTGTATCAGCTGCTCTTTCTTTGTCCGATGTTCGTTGATAGAGACAAAGGAGTGTTCAGCTGACAGCCAGCCGCTACCCTCGAAATAGTACAAGTCAACAGCCTCTCCAATCGCATGTGCTGACGATACTCAGGAGAACAACGGTCCAGTAGGCAAATGTGGGTGAATTAGTATGCTGTTTTGGTAGAATGCAAAATTAAATTGTAGCATATGTGTTTATGTTGAAGGTACATTATCTGTGATCCTACTGCTATGTGATTGCTGGTGTTGATGTACGTAGGAAAGTGGAATTATCTCAGGTGAGCATGCATCTCATTGGCTTTAACACAGAACTCCTAGCCAACAGGTTCACGTTAGAATTTCGCTACATCTATTTCAGTCTGATAAGTGATATTATCACCCCTCAGACTAGAAGTCTTTCTAATAGCACTGTATCGGATAAATGACGTGCTACACGGAGTGTGGCGACTTGAACTTCCGCACATTTGTGCAAAGTTCTATGTCGAAAACAGACAGACAGACACCAACCATTTTACGAGATGTCACCTTTCTACTCAGGAGGATGCACGAGAATAACTACAACGAAACCTATTTCTAAACCACCGCTACACGACCATTCCACAGCTACATTCACATTAGGGTTTGTTTGTCCACTCAGATCAGATTTCTCCTAATAAACGGTTTAACAGTGCACTACGAATGTTCCACTTAACTGTCCCGACCGAAAGCTGCTACCTTGACGTGGTGGTCGGGCTTGAACACCGCAATGACCTAATCAAGCTATACTGGCTGAGACTTATGTCTCTTGAGGTTCTACCATGCCAGGCAGGTTGTTTGGATAGCGGTTAAACAAAAAGCAGCTACCCAATCCAACATCATGTCCAATACAAAATTACAAAATTTCATGCCGGATCGGCCGTGGCCCGGATTAACAACGACCGCGCTTCCTGCTGCCGTGTCACAGGGCGGGAGTGATAAATCTGCTACTGAGACACACCAAACAAAAAGAACAAACAAAAACAGGCCGCGTGTGACCGGCCTCAAGCAGTTGTCCCCTGGGCTCTGCGGTCACGCAACCAACTTCCACGGTGTGGGCAGCCGGGAAGTAACAATCGCCCTCACAATCCGAAATGCACACGAAACCTCTCTATTACTCACTCATCTTTGTCTTCATCTTCATCTCTATCATCTTGCCTTCCTTCCACTGATGCAACTCCTCGACTTGATAGCTCTCCACTTCCTCTCCACTCTGCGTCCACTAAAAACGATGGAAGCCAAAAAACCACCACCGACAGCCTCTTAAAGCCGCGCCACCAATTTCATATAGGAGCTCTTAATGTTAGGACACTTTGCCAAATAGGACAACAAGCATCACTAGCCAAGACCCTGGCATCACGAGCCATTGATGTATGCTGTGTTTCAGAAACACGCATACAAGACCCAAGTGTGGTTATTCACCTAACCCCACCTGGCCAACAGGTTGAATCTGCAAAATTCACCTTGAGGGTGTCAGGAGATGCCACAGCTAGTTCACGAGGATTAGCTGGCGTAGGGATAGCTTTGAGTACTAGGGCAGAAAAGACATTGCTTGACTGGATCCCGGTAGATAGCCGAATGTGTGCTGTCCGCCTGAACGGATCAGTAAGAAGGAGGAAGGACTGCACTACTCGCCGATGCCTTTTCGTAATCTCCGCCTACGCCCCCACTGACTGCAGTTCAGATGAAACGAAGGATGAGTTCTACCAAAAGCTGTCTAGTTTGGTGGAAAGGCTAAACGCTCAGACATAGTCGTTCTAGCTGGTGACTTTAACGCTCAAGTAGGGAAATTGTGTCAATCTGAGAAGGATGTCGGTGGCACCTATGGAGTTCCGTGCCAGCGAACCGACAACGGTGACCGTCTCCTACAGTTCTGCTCTGATAATCATTTGTTTCTTGTAAGCACTAACTTTAAACACAAGGAGAGACACTGTTTGACTTGGAGACCCCCTTCATCAAACCAACGCTGGACACAAATAGACCACATAGCAATAAGCTATCGTTGGCGTGGGTCGGTAGGAGATTGTCGCTCCTTCTGGAACACGTGCGTAGATACCGACCATGCACTGGTCCGCGCTCGGGTGTGCTTACGACTGAACGGACGTAGGAAACAGCTGGCGGTAAAACCATCACGTCCCCAGCTCGATCAGGAAACTAAATCCGTATTTCAGGAAGAACTAGCTAAACACATATCTGTGTTCGACAGCTGTGCTCACCCTGAAGAAGCTTGGAAAAATATCCAGGCAGCCATAGATACAGCTGTAAAAGCTGTGAATAAGGTAAACCCAAAGGTGAGTAAAAACCACTGGATCTCCACCGCCTCATCCGAACTGATAGATGCTAGAAGACTTATTCCGGCGAGCTCCGAATTCAATGAGGAGCGAAAGCTGCACAAGAGGAAACTTACGAAAAGTCTCCGCAAGGACCGTGAACAGTGGTGGGCGACAAAAGCCAAAGAGATGGAGAAAGCTTTGAGGATAGGCAACACCAGGCAACTCTTTGGACTCATCAGGGAAACGGGTGGGAGAAGACAAATCATTAGTGAGACAATCTCGGAAAAAAATGGCACTATAATTAGCTCCAGGATAGACGACTGGATCGTTGGAAAGAGCATTATGAGGAGCAGTTTAATTTGCCCACAGCCACGCTCAACCTTCCGAGCATCCAACACCTCCCTGAATGGGATATAGACACAGGTCCTCCGTCACTAACTGAGGTTACTAAAGCTGTCACCAATCTGAAACTAGGCAAAGCAGCGGGACCTGATGGAATGACTCCAGAGGTATTTAAGTACGGTGGAGACAGCTTACTGTCCGGATTAACTGAGGTACTAGGCAGCGTCTGGGAATCAGAAGAAGTCCCATCGGGTTGGTGTAAGTCACTGATTATCCCCATATACAAGAAGGGAGACAAGTCTTCCTGTGATAATCACAGAGGGATTAGCTTGACTAATATAGTATCTAAAGTCTTAGGCTCAATAATCATGCGTAGACTGAGTGGTGCTCGGGAAGCACAAACACGAGAGAGCCAGGCAGGCTTTAGACCAGGAAGAGGGTGTATTGATCATATCTTCACCCTCCGACAGATTCTAGAACATAGGCATTCCTACCGGCGTCCAACAGTCATTATATTTCTTGACCTAAAGGCAGCATTCGACTCTGTCGATCGGGAAGTTCTCTGGAGATGCTTGGCTGTAAAGGGAATTCCGAGAAAATATATTGCACTGATTAAGGCACTCTACTCGTACTCATACAGCCAGGTGAGGGCTTACGGCGAGCTGTCATCTGAACTGATGACGACCAGTGGTGTCCGTCAAGGATGCCCATTATCTCCTTTTCTATTCAACTTCATCATAGATGTGTTAATGGACTTAACCCTAGGTGACTTCAGCGACTCAGGGATTGACTTGCTACCGGGAATAATCTCGTTGACTTGGAATATGCAGACGATATAGTCCTTCTAGGCGAAGACGCTGACGAAATGCAGAGTCTTCTAAACACCTTGAGCCGCAATCTACGAATGTTTGGCATGCGATTCGCTCCCGCCAAATGCAAGATGATGTTACAGGACTGGACTACATCGACGCCTAGTTTAAAAATAGGAAGTGAAGTGGTAGAGCACGTTGACCGCTTCACTTATTTGGGAAGTACCATCAGCCCCAACGGGCTGATCTCTGACGAAATCTCAGCACGAATACAAGGGGCTCGTTTCGCATTTGTTAGTTTACGCCGACTCTGGCGTAGACGAGATGTTCGACTATCGAC